AATTTACCCCCTTCCAAAAAAATCACAAAATACCTTCTAGAAAGCTTCACCAAAAATATAAATTAAAGATAAAGAATATTTGCATATTTAACAGGTATATGTAATGTTACACTCTTATTATTTTCAAAGGATAATCTGACCTAAAACTAATTTTCTTATTTCTTTGTCTAGGTTGGTATTTTCATTGAAAGGGTAGTGGTGAAATGTCTTATGTCATTAAGACAATGACAGACTGTTTGCTAACTTTCCCCTCCTTCACATTTTGAAACACTTCATAGTTGATTTTGTAATATTTCATTTGAAATGCCATGAAAAGTAGCCAAAATATGCCTTCAAGTATACCAATGATACATATGTGTATGTCTTTGTATGCCTGTGGGTTGGGAGGATACAAAATTGGAAATTAGTGGATTCCTTACAAAATCTTTGAATTGGTTTGTCTCTAAAATCCTTTTGTCTCTAGAACAGGAGGCACACCTACTATCAAAGATTTTCTAGTATAACAAAGAAAAATTATCCATAAAATATTAAAATCGAATTGTATATCCTAAATACCCTTTTATTGATATTGGATGATAATATTCATTGAGTTGAAAACTCTTGAAACACTCATGTCACTAAGGATCAGATAGATAACTTTAGGAACTCACTTTTTTCTATCAGCTTAAACCAATACCCTGGAAAAATAACTCTGTTCAACAATTTAATAGGCTGACATCAACTTTCTATGTGCAAGCACTTCCTATCATTTCTAAAAAGAGAATATGTTTTTAAAATTCTGCTCCCTTTTAGCTCTTATGCCAAAATATATAAAATTCTAAAACATCCAAGTCTTAAATACTTTTAATGTTCTTTAGAGTCTTTGGCAATCTAGTTTAAGAAAAGGGGGATTTTTAAAAAGAGAATTTACAGTGTTATCTCATGGAAATTCAAGGACTGAAACAAGTACAACCAGACCTCATGGGAAACACAATTGGAAATTAGGCCACACTGTGTCTCTCTCAGGGTCCACATGGTCTCCCTGTCACCTCCCTTACTTCCCATCTGTTCTCTACAGCAGCAAGAATGATTCTAAAAATGTAAGTCTGATATTATCTTCTAGTAACTCTCCAGTGGCTTCCCATCTCTCTAGGTAAATGCTAGCATTCTGACAGGTTCACAAGCCCTATATGATCTTCTTGCTCACTCCATATCTGACTTCATACCCTGTCACTCACTGTCTTGCTCCCACCATACCAGACTTATTTCCCCCCTTGCTATTCCTTTGACTCATCCAGCACATACCTATCCCAGAACCTTTGCACCTACTGTGCACTCTGCCCAGAACATCCTTTCCACAAATGTCAGCATGGCTGGCACCTTCACTGCGTTCAGGTTTCTATTCAAAGGACGCATGATCAGAATGATCAAATGGGCATCCCTGACCATGCTCCCCCAAGTAGCAGTTCCCCCATTATTTTTAAACTTCATGACCTGCTTTATTTTTATTCCTACAGTTTTCTCACCTAATGAAATATAATTTATATGCTTGTGCATATTTACTGTCTATCCCCATTACAAGAATAAGCTTCATGAGAACACAGACTTCGTTTTATTCATTGGGGTATTTCTGGCACCTAGAACAGTGCCCAGTACACAATAGGAACTTCATACTATGTATTAGAGGCATTAAATGAGTCAATGTTCTCTCTAATTTGCACTTCTTTTTGAGTCTGCACCATTTTTTCCTTCTTTCTGCTAAACTGCTTTCTCTGCATCAGCTAGCACATAGCTCATAATTGCTACGTAGCTTTTCAGCTGCAATATTCTCCACCAACTGGCAACTTCTCTCTTTTACTTTAATTCAAATTCCTGAAAATCTAATTGAACAGGCTTATTTTTTCCAGTAAAGCCACACAAACCATGTTTCTGGCCAGTCTCTGGATGTATTCTTTTTGGTCAGGTGTATACTCCTGGTCTAATAAGGCTGAACTACTTCAGAGCATGGATGATTAGGTGTGAGGGGCTGTGGGCGGGCAGCCAGGCAACACAAACGTGTCTAGTACATAAAGCCACTGCAGCCGTATCAGCAACAATGCTCTTCATTGTTCCAAATCCTGCTCATGAGTCTGACATCATTCCTCGATTCAATGCTTCTACCTTCTGCCTCCATGGTCCTTCCTGAACAAATAACTTCTCTAATTTTTTTTTGTTATATTTCTTTGTTAGATATAACTATGCATCTACAAAACTTCTGTGATAAATATGTCCACGTCTCTGCCTTGATCCTAATGACAACAAAATGCCCCTGCACTCCCATTCCCCCTAGGCTGTTTCATTATGCTTTTGAATGGTAAGCAAGAAATCCCATGTGTCTTTACATAGATCCTGTTGTGGACACACCCTAAGGTGATCCTCAATGTGTCACACCCTTGTATACTCCCCTCTTCTTTAGTGTGTGTGGAAACTGGGACTTGCTTCTACCCAATAACAAATGGCAAAGGTGAAAGCATTTTGCAGAGGTAAATTAAAGTCCCAAATCAGTTGATTTTGAGTTAATTGAAAGGGAGATTATTCTGGGTCAGCCTGACTTAATCAGATGAAAGTCCTTAAAAGAAAGACTGGTGCCCTCCCTGAAATAAAGACCTATTCTTCTAATGGCCTTGAAGAAGCCAAGGAAATGAATTCTGCCAACAATCTGATTGAATTAAGAAACACATTCCTCTCCAATTAAGCCTCCAGATAAGAACACAGCCCAAGTGATACCTAGATTGCAGCCTTGTGAGACTTGGAGCAGAGGACTCATCTAAGTCATGCCTGGACTGCCCACCTATAGAAACTGAGATAATAGATATGCTTTGTTTTAATCCACGAAGATTGTGGTAATTTGTTATGTAGTGATAGACTAGAACACAGATCCTTCATCCTAGTTCATTGTAAAGGATAGATATTTAGAGTCCTTATGTTATTTTAGTTCATTAGATCCCACCGTGTGATTTGATGTGGATCTTTTTGCTTTCTTTGAGTTTTACCCTAAAACTAGTGTAAAACTGCTAAATTGTGGAAATAGAAATAATTTACTACACTTCCTTAGGATACTCTTATTTGGGGATTTACTCTTTTCCTATATTTTCTCTTAGTGTATTAAGACTAACTTTAGACCTTCTTTCATGGGACAACACATGTCCATAATACTTTTCTCCCTCCCCTAGCCACATAGTCACCTCTTTTTCATGTAGCATCAACTCCTGTCGTTTTGGTTCTGATAAGTATGGGCACAATGTCTTTGGCTGTGAAATTCACGTCTACTCCTCTACTAAATGCCTCATTTTTTTTTCTGTTCATGCATGTGAATATTTGTTTTTTTCAATAAAAATCATTCTTGAAATTTTGGGGAGTTTTTACTTAAAGAATGGTTTTGTAAGGCCAAAACATTTATGGTGGGAAACTTTATCCCCTAATTTGTCTGTGTGTTACGTTTAAATGTTCATGTATCAAATTTTCCTTGGTAAAAGTTGGACATTCCTGTATTTAGTCAGTGTTTATTACTTTATTATTTATAACTATCCAAACGCTATTTATTCTGCTTGCAAACTTAAACTGTATATTTGAGTGTCTTATATTTTTAGAAGTTCTATACAACAATACAAGAAGTGAAGCATATAAGTCATATAATTTAGGAAACTAATCAGTAAACTAATATGTTTTCATGTTCCACAATGCTAGGAGTTGAGGGTATAGAGACATGAGGAGTTAACATTCTTTTTAATCCCATCAGCACATAAATTTTCAGACTTTACAAACTCACAGAAATTATGGTTTGAATATTTGGTACATGCTCTATGTAAAAGAAAAATCTTACTTTTCTTTAGAATATGTTTAATGGTATGTATTGGAAAAACCAATATCTTCCTTTATCATACATATGGAAATAAAAACTTGAGGTGAAATATTGATGAAACAAATTTCTATGTTTATCCTACCAGAAGTTCTGAAACACTGATTTGAAATTGAAGTGATTAAGAATATCTGTTTCCTAAAGGGGCCCCACAGAGTGTATAATCAAGCTCTGGTCCACGTTTGCCTGGAAAAATATACAGTCACTGTAGATGGGTCCCTTATTAAATAGTTTCTAAGTTGAATTTTAATTTTAAAGGAAAAGTGAAATCACGGATCTCGATGCATGGTGGAAGTAGGAAGAGGGGTAGGGGATGGGGACAGTGATACATGTTCATTTTGATCTGTAGGGAATGATGAAACATCCAATAATCACATTTCTAAATGCATATCACAATAGATAAGGCTTTAAGTGTTTTGTTCAATTAATTAATTAATTAAACTTATCTCTCATTCAGGTATAGATTATTCTCTTTAAGGGAAAGAAGCTTAGAAAGATATTTAGAGGGAGCTTTTGTTGAAATATTAAAGTCATACGAACACCTTATCACACTAAGTATAACTGAAACTGTTTTACCATATTATCATACTCAAGTCAGTGTAATGCATTGATAAGGAACACACTAAACATTTCCATAGGTAAGGTTTGTAGTTTTTTAAAGTAGCAGAGCATGTTTAACACACTTGCATTGTGTTAGTTCAGGGGCATAGATTTCTCTTTTCGAAGCTACCTTTGAGTTAAATTAAATACCAAAATCCTGGGAAGTTCTGATAGCAGGTAGTGTTAATTATTTTTCTTTGAGATTAGTCAAGAAGTAGAAAATTAATTTGCCATCTCTTATTTGTACATATATGAGATCACAGTTTTTCCTTTATTGTGAAGTATGAAAGAAATAGAACATTCTTCGTCAACAGAGTGAGGCTTTCTTCCTTTTTTGTGTTTTTTTTAAGTGCACAAAACTGTAAATAAAAACATGCTTATTTAACAAAGAATTTGCTGACCGTTCTTGTTCCACCTGGTTGTTCTAAGTTTGCTGCAGCTGCTTCGAGGCGCCTCCAGATGGCGCCCTGGTGCCCGTTCTCTCCGCCCAGCTGCCGACCAGTTGCCAGCTGCTGGAGAGAATGAGCTTGGAGCGGCAGGGCTTCACCCGGGGCGGCTCCGAGGTGGGTTGCTGAAGGACTCTGGGAGGCAGCTGCAACAGGGCATCACTCAGTGTCCGAGTATTTCCATTTCTGAGCGCAAAAGGAAGAACTTAAGCGGCCGTCAGTTGGAGTGTAAATTGCTTTGTAGTATTTAAAAGCAGCATGGATCGTGAGCAGCTGAGCTGGTGCGTGCAAGAGAAACTACTGAATGGAATTGTGCTGGGTAGGAACCCGTCTATCATTCTTTGTGTACCAAACGTTCTGTGTCCTGAATCGTGCGTATGTGTATACACTCATTTCATTTTCACCTGGATCGTGGGGGCTTGAGGTCACAATCTTTCTTTCATTTTCCAACATGATATAATTAAAGCTTTACAGAACACTGTTTATTGATAGAAATATGACCTGAGTAATGGTCTATAGAAGTACATGGTAATGGCACTGTATACTTTTCTTTTATGTTTCTTTGTTAGAGAAAGAAAAAAAGAAAGTAAACCTAAACCATATTACTATGTAGTTTTACCAGATATGCCTTTTAAAGACAATAGCCAAAAAAAAAAATGTTTAACTACCCTGGACTAGATATTAAGTCACTTTTAGCTGTAGGTGTAGACATAAACACATGTATAAAATATGAATGATTTTCACATCTGTGTGCCAGAAAGAACATTGTGTAGCTATGAAAACACTAATGATGAAAAATACATATCTTGTGTAAATACATTTTGTATGGTCTAATATGCCATGTGAATGTGTGTTGTGTATATGTAGATAATAACATGTATATGTGACCTAGATGCAGAGTTATTTCACAGTTATAAAAATCCATGTGTTGGATATGGATGGATTTTTGCACCTTCACACACAATACTTCTGTGTAGATAACTTAGTATGAAGATTATCTATTGCCAAAATAATAAATCTGAATTTAAAGAATGTACTTGTTTCACCATTTTTAAATTTCTCAAGTTTCATTCAGTTGTGCACTTAGTTTTCTGTGCTTTTAAATACTGAGGAAAGGTGGCGTTTTATATTTTGAACATAAAATATTGGCCAAAGTGATTAGATGGAAATAAGATGCACAGATATGTAATTATAGGTTCCCTGGACTTGAGGTTACTATAGCTGGAATCCACAAAAGCTCTGACCGGGAGATTATGTTAAAAACTAGCCAGAAAATTGAAAGATTCAAAAGTTCAGAACTAAACTGGAAATAACAGAGGCTGAGGTTTTACTCTCGGCATTATTACTCTAAAACTAATGTTAGACTACTTATAAGCATGTATGTATTCCCTGGTAACAGATGTGTGCATGAAGCAGACACTGAATTTTATGCCATTGCACATAAGCAAATATAACACAATTCAACATAAGAAATGTGAATTTTTTTGTTATGTTTGCTTTTTGCTTTTTTTTTGTTTTTGAGGAAGATTGGCCCTGAGCTAACATCTGTTGCCAATCTTCCTCCTTGTTTCTCCCCAAAGCCCCAGTAGATAGTTGTATGTCATAGTTGTATATTCTTCTAGCTGCTCTATGTAGAACGCCGCCTCAGCATGGCTCGATGAGTGGCAGGTGGATCCGCGCCCAGAGTCCGAACCGGGGAACCTGGGCTGCCTAAGTGGAACCCACATACTTAACTGCTGTGCCACCAGGCTGGCCCCAAGAAATGTGAATTGAGAGCTAACTATATAAGATAGTATGCTAAATCAAGCCTGAGATACCAAGGGAAGTTAGAAACAGTTCCTGCCCTCAAAAAGTTGCCAGTCAAATGACTAGGATGGGCATATTCATGAATATGAGTAAACAGTAAAATACAAATCAAAATAAATGCTATTAGAGAGGAGTGTACACAAGGTGTATAGCATTTAAATGGAGGAGGAATCTGATTTAGGGGCTTTAGTAAGGGCTTCATATTGGAAGGCACTGCTCTCAAGGGGAGGGTGGAAAGAATGATTTTAGTGAGTAAAGATGATAATGTCCAGTCAGACATTTAGTTTGTGTTGGGTGCTGCCTTCTTCACTGGTCTTAGATGTGAGCGATAAGAAATAATATACAGGTAGGTGGGGCTGTATTGCAGATGCTCTTGAACATCAGGCTGAAAATTTTGGATTTCTTCATTAGTTCATTCCCAGTGCCACTAACAGTATAGGCTTTCAGTACTCTTTTAGAAACATTGAGTGCTGTGCATAATAGTGAGAGCCAGTATGATGCTTTAAAATAATTTTATAATTTATTTGTTGTATATCTGCCATATTAGAATGAAATTCTAAGACACAGAAGTCTTTTTCAATATTATATCTTCAGAAATTAGAAATTTCTTGTAAAAGATTTATCTACCGTATGAATGAATGAATGGAAAATAGGGATAAGTCCAGGATTCTACATTATTTGTATTTAGTTTTCCTAATCCTCATCAATGATTGACAGCCTGAAAATTTACCAAGTCTTTGGAGCTGTTGTTCCAGCTGATGCTCTTTATGGCTCACATCCCTAGAATAGCCACTACTGATGTTTAATCTCACTCTATTTTTAACCTCTTACATGAATAGTCTTGCCTTCACATTTTTAAAAGGGTTATTCTAATGTTCTAATTCCAAACTACATAATTATTCAGGCAGAATTCACAAGTTCCTTTTCATGTCTCTATGGTAGACATATAGTGGATATATAAGACGTTAAACAAATAAGTTCAGGGAAACAGTGGGAGAATTTGAGGAATGCCTTTGCACCCTGTAATATATTTTTACCTATTTACATGAATGCTTCAAATATTTGGTTGTCTGCAACTTCGTTTAGGTCAAACTCTCTAGAGCCTCTGTAATTCTGGGAGTGCAAAGTGGTCACTTGAGAGATCCTTTGCCATTTGCTTCCATAGCTTTGGGGGGCAGTGAGGTGGCATTCTTGGGGTCCCAGCCCTCCCGCACAGAGGCAGTCCTTTTCTCTGTCCCTGTGTAATGACATCTATATCTTTTATGGATAGCGACAAGCATATGTGAAGAAATTACTGAAGAAAAAGTTTTTGTCATTTGAAAGGATGATAATAAATAAAAATAAACAAACATTTTAAAGGAACTTATAAATGTGGTTCACTCAACTAAATTGTGAGTGAATGTATAGTGTCTTACAAATAAAAAGGCCAAATAAACAATGTCGTTGAACCAACAACGTTAAAAAAGAAACACACACCTGGAGTTTCCCCTTTTGCCCTTTCTTCTGTTTAGATGATTTATATATCTTAATTTACTTTCATATGATTCATCTAAAAATATACAAGGGTGGAATTTCAAAGTTTAAAGATACATGTTGATGGGGTTTTACATGTTGGTTAAACTGAGGATGCAGGGATTTGTTCCACTTGGGCTGATCTGCGCAGAGTCAGGCTTTTTCTCTCATCAGTGTCAGTATGACAAATTTCCACACCAGTCCTGGTCTCCATCCTGCTGGACCTGCTGTGAATGCTTTATTTTAGCCCGTGTGAGAGGAGGTAGTAAAATGTAGTGACCCCAGACTTTCACCTTATTCCAAGCCCTGGGGCATAGCTTGGCCTGGGGACTAATGGGTTAGGGGAAGCATATCTTCTTCAAATAAAGCTGGGTGTTCAGTTTCCGAGAAATATACTGCAGTGTGTACTGCAGGCTTTTCCCCCTAGTGGTTGACTTAAAGCTGTTGTTTCCTGTAACAATTGAAGTAGACTTTTCTTCATGGATTGGAGCTAGTTTGGTCAAGATTCTCTAACTTACATTTTTAAATACTTGTTTGAGGAGAGCATATGATTTTCTTTAATTGATCATTTTGGAAGATAAGAGTGTTATGCCTTAGAAAACATGCTGGGGGCTTTTCTTTATTCTTTGGAAGGCTAGGCATTCAAAAATACACAAATGCAGAATATACACAAATAATGGAAATTTTCTACTGCTGGATCACCTATTGTGTTCCTGTTTCTTAGTGCAGAAAAAAGTTTTCCTCTTCCTCTGGTGTCCTGTTGTCACTGTTTTCTATAGTCAGTGTCACTGAATCAGTTTAACATGATTTTTAGCCTTTCCAATCATATTGTAAATTCCTTAAAGGAAGGAAACAAATTCTGTGCTTCCTTTGAATCTCCCTGTCATTATAGTAAACACACTGCCAGCCACAAAAAGCACTGAAGTTGGTTTGTTTGTTGACAATTAAAGATTAAATTCTTATTTTTTCACACAAATTCAAATAAGTAGATGTAGTCATATAGCAGTGACTTCTAAGGGGCAAAATGGAAGTCTTTCTAGAAGCTCTGTACATTGGGAACGTTACACCTGACATACCACATCAGAAAGAGAAAGTTCTTTCTCCTCAAATCCACTGTTTGAAATGAGACATCTTTTTTAAAAACAATATTTGAAATATGGAGATATCTATAAAGGCACAAAACTTGCCTTCACTTGGTAAAGCTATTTACATCTGGAATAGATACCTTCTGGCATACCTCTGTCTCTGGGGTATTGTGTAACTGCAGGTGGAATATTCCAGAGTCAGAACTGCTGAAAGTTAGGGCAAATCAGAAGAGTTCCTAGCAGCAAGAATTAACCTTAAGGAACCTTAGGGGCATTGATATGCTTTAGAGCTGTTCCTGGAGGGAAAAAATCATATATTTTTTTATAATGAGTATATTTATGAGCATACAACAACCTGCCACCCAGATATATAAAAATGAGAGTTAGTAGCAGCAAACTTTTATTTTAGCAAATGCTAGAAGAAAATAAAGGGTCTGTGGCTGTATTATGAACAAGAGTGAAGACCTTCTCTTGTATCTTTGGACCAAAGACTAACAGAAGAGCTCTTGGTTACTGAGATGTATTCTTTTCTGGTCTCAGGCTCATTAACGATAGAAGTAGGAGGGAGTGGGTATAAAGCGGCAGCTGCAGCTGTGGGCACTCAGATCATTTGTCACCTGGCATGAAGTTAGTGTTGGCAGCTCCGAAGTTCCAGCACAGAACACCAGGAAGCAAATGCCAACTGATTGTTGTTCCTCACCAGCTTGCTGGCTAACTCCGACTCATTCTTCAGATCTCTGCTGCAGTGTTGCTTCCGCCGGGTACTTTGCCCGACCTCTCTAGAATACACTCAGCACCTTTCCCTCCGCTATTATGGCCTCTTATTCTCATCCTTGCATTCACGCTTAAAGACCTGCCTGCCCTCCTCACTAGACTAA